ACTAGACTATTTGCTGTTATCGTCGATTACTGCTATTAGGGTAATAGCTGACCTTTTAAGGATAACATTGGAGGTATCAATAAAGCAATTCATTTTTGTCCCTCATGTATACTCTAGGATATATTCTAGATCTGTATTGCGCATCTGAACCAGAATTTGGATATATCTATGTATCTTGTAAGCGTAGTCATAACATATATATATGAGTACAGTATATGTAATATGAAATAGCCGAATAATTGCATTATTAAATATCATAAATTTATAATTGTAATTGAAAGCACTGTAAGGATATATCTTATGACGATGTATGCTTGGAAAATCGCATTAAGTTATCAATAAATTATGATTATACAAAATGAAGCTCTTAAATTTAAGCAGGAGATATAATATTAATTGATATTATTATCATTAATTGTTTTTTAAGTCCTTGTGATAAACGTTTCCTATAACGTAAATTTCATGATAAAGTATACTTGGAACTGAACTAACTGACAGTACAGTTACTGCAGTGCTACTACACATTTACGAATAATTTATAGGGTTGAGTTATTCATTGTGGGTGAGAATGAATACTTTAATACGTTAAAGTTTCAATTCATGCCCTATTGAGATATGGATGAGTAAGCATATACTTGGTATAAACATTGTTATAACAACACAAGACAGAAGGAAACCATATGCAAACTTTCATTTTACAATAGGTAATACTCGTAGAAGATATTATTAGTATTTTCAAAGTGATAATTATAAGTATCCGATATGTGCTGTATAGGAGGCGATTGATTACATCATTTTGTTATCTACAGTTACAAAAGGTCAGCTCAAATACCACAAACTAAAGGAATTCACTAGAATTATGGATAGGAATAACGAAGGAATAAATCGCATTAGATATAGCAATACAGAAGTTGTCATCATGTCCAACGTTAAAATTACTATTCACTGAGTTCATTCGTTGCTCTTTTCAGGACACGACAATGCTTTATCTGTCTTGGATTACAGTAGAAATATCACATATTACCATACAGGATAAGGATACAGTTGAAAATATTGTACTGTGTATTAAAGAGCGTTGATGTTAGAGGGAATGTCAATTGATGGGAATGCCAAACTAATTAGAATACGTGTTTGATAGAGTGATAGTTCCTTGAGCCAAATCATTAACTTAGTCTTCCATCATATACATTGTACGTACAATGGACAGCTTACACTTATCCATAGCGACTGATAAATTATCCCTTATATACAGTATTGACGATATAATTCATCGCACTGAATGAAGAGACATTTGCACTTGTATTTCTGCAATGATACAGCCATGGATGACTAGATGAATGGTCTATCTGGTAGTCCATGATACAGCACATATTGTACGTATGTGTTTAGTTCAATCTCAGCTTGGGTTTCTTTTATCTCCATGGAATTGCATCGAGTTGCCCTCTCGTCGTTGATTAAACTTGATTCACAGTAATCTGTCTGCCTTTAAAAGTTAAACCCTTTTCTACGAAAGTGGCTATACGAACTTGAAAGAGTGCTTTTTTAAGGCATCACGCAGTGCATTCTCGTCGGACAAGACATGTAGTCTAAGCAGTTATTTACATTTCCGATGGTCCGACGCGGTTGCACACTGAAGGACTTTATAATATGCAGTATCGAGCTGCTTAAAGCTAATTTACAAGCTTTAACCAGCCTGTGTTGAACTAGCTATAACAGAATTTTCAGTAACAACACTGGTACACTCGTGTTTCAATTGCATCCATTTGTAGGTACAGTATTTTTTGCAATAGAGTGAATTAGTTAGAACTGTACCATAGTTTGGTCCCTAATGTGCCAGACCTCTATATTGGTCTCTCGCTCTTTCTCCCTTTTTAGCGTCTCTACTGCACAGTAGGCCACCACAGGTTGCAAAAATCTTCAACTAGACATCACTGAAACTATGACTGAAGAAATATCTCAATATCTGCTCTAGTCTCTCTCTACTCAACGTGATGCCTAAGTTTTATACCGTTGGATGAGCTCAATCATAATTAAACTTCAATATTGTAGTATGTTCAGTAGAAATGTTAACCAAAACAAGAGAACATATACAGCTGCTTGGCAGATATTGACAATTTTCCAAGCTGTCGCCACCCATCAATTTCGTCTATTCCATGGACTTCTAGAGCTATTTCAGTGCTACTGTAGCCATATTTGGTTTCCTCGCTGACACCACCCATCAATTTCGTCCCACAGTACAGTATTAAATGCCCCTGAGTTGACAATTTTCCAAGCCGTCGCCACCCATCAATTTCATGGACTTCCAGAGCTATTTTAGTGCTACTGTAGCCATATTTGATTTCCACGCTGACACCTCCCTAACACCACCTACAGTATGAATTTCGTCCCACAGTACAGTACTAAATGTCCCTGAGTTGTACTGTACACTGTAGTCTGGTTCCGGTCCTCGGACCTTAGACCGGGTCCGGACTATGAAGATCAGACAGTGGAGTACCGTACAGCACCTATTTTTCTATACTGTAGACATAAAAACAAAGTTGTTATTTTTGACCTCTATGCATTTTCCAGTCCAAGAGTACAATACATTGTACTGTAAGCTACAGTACCATGATTGCTCATTACAATGCAAACTCCAAGCATGTACTGTATGATTATGTAAATAAAAGAGAAACAGCACAACAACAATCGCAAGATTGGCTCGCCAACTTAGTGCTACGTAGCTCAAGATTGGTAAGAAAAATCGCCAAGGAGATTTATCAAGAGCAAGTACTGAATATTTGATAGGTGGGTAATGTAGCCTTTTGGCAGTCTTTTTGCTCTAATTAGATTGAATTAATCTTAGTGATATAATAGAGTATCGATGTTGGCTGGAAATGTTGTAGTGAGTGGTAGTAATGCGCGTATGTTCAACTTTATTTTGTAGCTCAACGATTATGGGTAAAATTAATCTTCATGCCAATCGATTTTCTCAGCCAGCACGCTCTGTCGAACTATTTCTAAAGGTTAATAATATTCCGTATGAGTTTCATCCAATTGATGTTCCTAAAGGTAAGCGGTGACTACTGACTAGTCATATAAGATTGTTACAGTATTGGATTGAAATAGTAGCTTACTGGTGTTTGCTAACTAAAAATTAAAGTGCATCTCAGATCATCGCTCATATTTCTGCGCTTGGCATATTGCTTTACAAAGTTCGTTTACTTCATTCCAATTGCACCATATCGTATTATATGTTTCTTTATTCCATCATGACTTCCATGAAATGGTATCTCATTTCATGCGGTTTCTATGATCGTACTGCTTCTTCCAAAATGCGTACATGCTACTGCCACGAGATTGTTCCAGTGGAGAAAATCATTAATACAAGATATAATAGTAATCAAACCGCTGAATTGATCATCGAATGCACTTGATCCGACCATTTTTTTGGAGTCAAGACTGACATAAAGACAAAAAATGTGCATGTGCGGTACCTCTCGACTTTCTTCTAAGGCTATTGTGCAGCTCGGTACCGTCGAAATAGAACCGTATTAAAAATAGGCTTTTTATCACTTACCGATGATTATATTATTAACTTACGGTCAACAATTTACTCAGTCATGAATTGGCGGAGAAAAATATTTTATTTTGTTTGATATTTACTTGGTATTTTATGGTATTTACCTATTTGGTAAATAAGTACTGTTCTGTGCTTTTAGATATAAATGAAACGACTGAAATCATAAAAAACGATATCTATGATTCATTAATTATTAGCAGCAATAAAGTGTGTAATGGGCGTAATAACACATGTTACAGACCCGTATATGCACATACAATATATTTGATTGGCCATTTGGTAAGAAGGATGATTTCTAGGTTCCACCAAGGCATTTAACAAATTTCCTTCTCGTTAATGTATCTCTAGGTGATAATCGCACTGAATCGTTCCTAAAAATTAACCCAACAGGAACTGTACCAGCTTTAGTGGACGATGAATTCTCTTTATTTGAAAGGTATACTTTAATGATTATTTTGTGCAATATCTACCTACTGAATCAAAGTGCAATAGTGCATGCTATTGTTGTAATTCTCACATCGGTTACTTGCTCACGGTTTGCTTAAAAAGATCACTAAATCTTAATGTCAGTTTAAGGAAGTATGATCTGCTTAACGCATTCTGTTTACCTTACCTATGCAGCGTAGCCATGATTCAATATTTGGCTAAAAAATATTCGACTCCTGATCATTGGTA